GGGTGGGGAGGGGGAGGTGGACAGCGCAGGGCTCTTGCTAACGCCCGCGGGGCTGGGTCAGCAGCAGGAGGCCCAGGCCTGGGCCGTATCCCAAATCCACCATAATCTCAGCTGGGGACAGAGAGGGTGTGGGGAGCCCACTTCTTCATCAGCCCATAGGGAGGTCCAGAGAGCTTTCCCCAAAGGCACCTCGGGGAGTCACATGGGAGAACTCTTTGTCGCTTCAGCAGGGACACCTCCAAAAACCAACCTGTTGGGGGAGGAGAGAGAAAGGTTAATTCTGGGCAAGCATGGGGTCCCCCCAATGTTCGCCTCCTACCCTCCCACGGGGCCTCCTACCCCGAAGACCGACCGTGAGGACTCAGAGTGGTGAGTATTACAAGTTACCCACCTGACGCCCCCGTAGAAATCTGCTCCTTTTCCCAGGAATTTCGCAGAACCCCCCTAACCTGGGACTGGAGCCGGCTACCCAAGCAGCTGGAATATGATAGACACTCAAATCAAATCTGTGGGTCACTGGGAGCCAGCTGGCCCCACCCCTGCCCAACACTGGGCAGCTCTAACTGGAAGTCCTTCATTGCATCTACCCTCCAGACCTCATGCTGCAGTCACAGCCCATCTCTGGAAGAGGAGCTCTCTCTGCCCTTCTGTGAGTGACCCCTCAGCCCTCCCTTCCCAGTGCTGAGTCACCCCTGTGCCTTTCACCTGTGGAACTAGGGCAGTGGCCCCCCGACACGCTGGCAGACTCTGCGTGGCCCTCTGGGCTTGGCGGGAGAAAAGGAAGTAAGGCTTCCCCCAGCCACAGAAACTCTGACACAGCAGGCCCTGCGGGCCTGGCCTTTGTGAGAGGATAAAAGAGGCAGCGATGCCCGCCCTGGCCAGAGACACAGAGAATGGGGATAATCCCCCAGCCCAGCGAGAGCCAGGTCTCTGGACCTGCTGGCCGGGTGATGGGGGCAGGGGGAGCTGGTCCCTCCCCGGTGAAATGTGTCTGGAGCCCCATCTGGGAGTCCGGGCCCCAAAAGCCCCGCTTCACACTCCGGGATCACGCACTCCCGCCCCTTCTCCCAGCCGAGGCCACGCACGTGCACCACCCCCCACACTTGGCTGCAGACCCCCCCACGGGCGCCCCGGGAGAGAAGGAGGCAGGCAGGCTTCAGGAGGCCTTGTAGTGCCAGGGAGGCCTCGTCCTCCCACCCACTGCTTGGATGCCTCTGGCCCAGCCCCTCAGCCTCCCTGAACGTCAGTCTCTCCATCTATAAAATGGGGCTAAAGATGTTCAGGGGCTTTGCTCTGAGAGTTGGCTGAGTTTCGGCTTACTAATGAGAAATCCGAAATGCTGGAGCGGCAGTGCCCCTCCCACCGTGGCCCAATCCCATTCCCCTGCCCTGGGGGAGGCCCCAGGGAGCCCACCTGCACGGGAGATAAATCATTAGCCCTCTAGGGAGTTCAGCACTTCCCTGCCTGGCCTCTCCCACCAGCTTTGAAGGCCAGTCACACTCAAGTGGTTAAGCTGCCCTGTGAGAAGTGTTTACATGAGGCTGACGGGTCCCACCTGGTGCTGCAGCCCAGCCGAGCAGGGCAGGGATGCCCCCAACCACCCCCAAACGCCAGCCCCTCCAGGCCCCTCCAGTCCTCCCTGCCCCAATTTCTGGAGCCTTCTGTCCTCCTCAGCCCCCACCCCATACTTCCATCGCCTCCAGTCTGCGGTGGTCTCGCTGACCTTATCAAACTGGGGTCCGCAGCCAGAGGCCGGCAGGAGAGCCTGATGGTTAAGGGCAGGAGCAGTGTGCTTGCCTTCCCATGTTGGCAGCCCTAACGTATTAACTCTCACCCAGGCCTGGTTGCTTAGCTGACCCGAGCCTCAGTTTCCTTATCTGCGAGACGGTTGTTTTTTATAGTTTAAACGAGCTAATACATGACACCGCTTGGGATGGCGCCCGGCCCATCATGGGGACTCACTAATAATTGCATCCTTTACGACCAAGAAGACACAATTTTGTGTCTACACGCCAATGGTTATCTAAAAAGCAATACAGGTGTTCTGTTTCGCTTTGGTGTCATCTGGATACCAGCCTTAATACCGAGCACTGTTATGCAATTTCCATATTGGCATTTATCCCAGCGCGATCACTCCATATGGCAGGGTTAGCATTTAATTGAGGCATTTGTGAAACTGAGGTCTGAAGACTCTTGGCAGATACATTCCCAGGGTGCCATGAGCCCTCGCGCTGGCCAAACATCGGCAGAGGAGGCCGCACCAGACAAACGTGGTGCTAAATCTCGGGTCCGTGAGAATTTGGTCTCACTGTGTGATCAGTATCAATGGGATCCTAGAGGCGGAAAAGATCACCTTTGCATCATCTCCTGCATCGGCCCGGGTCGGTGCCTGGCACACCAGGCTGGGTGCTCAACAAATGTCAACTGCCCCTTGCCTTCCCCTCTATTCCACCCTCCTACGTCTTTGCTTTCAGCCTGGCTCTTGCCATGCTCGTCCGTCCGGTCCTGACCCACTCCCACACCAGTCACTATGGGACCCTGGTCTTGGCTGGGAAATGGACAGGAGGATCCAGGTCTAAATTTCATTGGAGCAGCTGACTCTGGCCTCCCTCACCTGTCACTGGATGGGAAGAGCTTCAGGTACTTTTAAAACATATGTAGGCATAGAATCAATTCTGAGAAGGAGCTAAGAGTTCATTATGCCCGGGGTATGAGCAACAGATAGGGGACCAGCTGGCTGTGGAGGGGGTGCCCTGGACAGCAAATATCCCATCTAATGGGAGCAGGTGCTAGTCAATTCCAGGTGACTGTTGATAGGCAGAAATAATGATTTAATATTGTCAGATCTTCTGTTTTTTTTTTATAGAGAAGTTGAAAACTCAGAAGTTTGTATGAAAATCCAATTTTAAAAGATGGACATGTCTGAGACTAAGAGCTGCAGTAGCAAGCCCCAGAAGATCACAGGTCCCTGCATCCATCTCCCTCCAGCCAGTCCCTGCCCCCCTCGCCCGGTCCTCCACCCCATTCAAGCACAGTGGGCACATGCAAGCGACCCTGGGCTTGGCGACCCAGGGCAGGCAGAGCCAGCGATGGGAACAGCTGGCAGTCACCAAGGTCTCAGGCATCCGTGGGGGACGGAAGCACATTTTGTCTCTGCCAGGGTCGGGGTGCAGAGCTCCTATCCACGAGGTGCCTATCCCACCTGCCTGTGTTAGGGCCTCAGCACAATTCTAGGAAGGAAGTATAATTATTCCCATTCTATGGGCAACCAGGGGTTAAGGGTCTCGGGGTGACATGCCTAGTCCAGTGATCCCCTAGTGGGGTTTGTTGCTCAGGACTGGGTGTCTGGAGGGGAGCTGACCTCGGAGGTGGGGAAGGAACTGGCGGCAGAGGCAGAGCTGGGGTGGGAGACCTGAGAGAGAGGCCGTGCACAGGCTAGGTGGTCTGGGAAAGGGGGGATGCAGGCTGCCAAGGGGAACCCCACGGTTGGGTGGGGGGGTGGAGCTGAGGGCAGGGATTCGTGCCCCCACAAAGCTGCAGTTAACTTTCACCCTCTTGCCTGTAACACTTTCAGGATAAATTGGTACTCCGTCCGCGGCCGGATACAGACCCAAAAATGTAAACCATCCCGATAATTTCTCATTAACCCTCCCGGGGACCGGCTCCGGATGGCAGCGGGTGGGGGGCCGACGTTGTGCTGGGCGAGGGGGTAGGACCAAGGACGTGCCTGCCCGACCTGTCGGGATTAGCCTGTCAGCCCGAGCCAAGCCAGGTGCTGGGGTTCCCCCCCCCCACCCCTCCAACACCGACCGGCAGCGGCGGCGGTAAAGGCTCCTTCATGTCCCTCCAGCTCTGCCCCACGCACCCAAACTCTTCTTCCCTCCCCACTACCCTGGAGAGGCCCGGCAGGTGCAGGGGGAGGCGAGGTGGACCTGAAGTCCCTCGGACTGTCCCCGCCCAAACCCAAGAGAAGTCTCCAAGTCCAGGAGGCCAGTCTGGCCACTAAGCCCCTTCCCTCAAGCGCCCGCACCCAGAGTGGGTCTCAGCCGTCCTCTGAACCCTGGGGTGGCAGTGCTGGTGCTGGTGCTGGTGGTGCTGGTGGTGCTGGTGGTGGTGGGGACACATCCTCCAGCTCTCCCCAGCCCAGCCTGGCCCAGCCCAGCCCAGCAGCACCATCGTCCCTCTGGGCGCCCGACCGGGGCCAGGGAGTCGCGCCACCTCGCAGCGCACTGGGGGCCGTGGTGCCAGCAGCCTGCCACGTCGGACCTGACCGGGCTGCGGGTCTGCGGTGGGAGGGACCCGGGGTCATGGGACTGGGAATCCGAGGCGATGACACCAGGGATCCAGAGCACGTTGGGGAGGAGAGGGGGGGAAATAGGGCTGATGGGCTTGGGGGAGTCCGAACCACTAGTTGCCATCAGTTCAGACTCAGGGTCGGAGATCAGATGGGAGTGGGGACGGCGGCGAGGACCAGCGGACAGGCTCCCGGGTGCGCCCTCGCGCGCTCCGACCCCGCAGCAGCCCCAGGCCCCTTCCCCTCGCTGTCGGCCCCCCAGGCCCCCCCCCTCGGCTCGGCCGGCCCCGACGGGAGGGCCCGGGGGAGGGGGCGCTGGGGGGGGACGGGGCGGCTCGGGGGCACTCACCTCGGCGCTGCGGGCCGCGGCGGGGGCAGGCCCGGGAGGGGCTTGGGCGCGCCGCTCCCCGCTCCCCGCCGCCGCAGGACTGTCCGGGCGCCCGGCTCGCCCGCGCTCCGCCCGCGCGTTCCTAAGTTGCTCAATCTGCGGGCGGCTCACGCCCTCCGGGGCAGCGCCCCACCCGGCGCATCGGTCCTCTGGGGCGGCCCGCTCCGGCCCTCGCGCGCCCGGGGTCCGCGCCCCGCTCCGCGCCCCGCGCCCGCGCTCCCCGTCGCGCTCCGCTCGCCCGAGCTCCCGGCCCGGAGAGGGGCCAGGGCCGCGCTCGCACGAGGGAGGGAATCCCCCCCCTTTGCAGTCCCACCCCCCGAGCCGGCCCCCCTTGCCGGGATCCGCAGCAAAAAACGGACTGGAGCGCCAGGCCCCGGAGTCCGCAGCCCCCTCCCGCAAGCCCTTGCCCGCAGCCGGGGCGCTGCGCTCGGAGCTGCGCGGGGAGCCCGGGGCTGCAGAAGCCGCTCGCGCCCTGGGGCCCCGGGCGCCCACCCCGGGGGACCCCACGCAGCCGCAGCTGCAGCTGCAGGCAGCTCGGGCGTCAGAACGGGGTCTGAGCGCCTGCCGAACCTCAGTTTCCCCGCGGAGACTCTAGAAAGTGACCAAGGCACCGCGCTCACCAGGGCCTGGCCACACCCTCCTCCTCTGGGGGTCAAGTCTTCAGAGCATCTTCCCCGTTCAAGGGAAATATAAGGCCGCAGGATCCTGGGAATCCGGGTGAGCTGCTGCAGAAGGGTGAGGGGAATGTTGAAATGAGCCCCTAGATTCGAATCCCTGCTCCGCCGCTTGCAAGCTGTGTGGCCCCACCTAAGTTCCTTAACCTCTCTGAGCCTCAGTCTGTTTTGAGGGTTCAGGGGGGAAGGAAAGCTTCCAACAGCCTGGGAAATGGGGAGGAGTGGGGGTGGGGGCTCCGTGAATGTGTGCAGAAGCAGACACCTGCAGTGATGCGGGAGCTGGTGAAGTCAAGCCTGAGGAAGGGAGGGAGACCCTTCTCCAGGGCGGCAGACGGCTCTCCTCGAGCTTCGTTTCAGATCTGGGTAAAGGGAGATGGGCTAAAACTGTAGTTCGCAGGAGTTAGTTAAGTTAGAGCAGAAAAGCTATACCGATGGGGGGGGGTGGCTAGTGCGGAGAGGGGTGGTGAGTAATCAAGACAGGCTGTGGAATCTCTTGAGGAGGGGAAGCAGCAGCCCTAACTCTTGAGACAAGGGTGCAGTGTGCTTTACAGTGACAGGGGACAGATGGAGTGACCCCTGGGGTGTCCCGATGGCCCGGGAACGGGGACGCTGGGCGGCCAGAGTGTGGAGCCGTTGGGCATCCAATGCCCAGTGTCTGGGTTCATTCAGCCACAGCCTTGCCAAGTGTGCAGGAGGATCACGGCCATTTCCAAGTGGCTCCGGCCTCCACCCCCAACTCCCTCTGGAGCGCAGCTCCCCTCTCCCCTAGGCCCTGAGCTCTCCCTATGTCTCACCGGCCCTTGGCTCTGCTCTGCGCCTAATCAAACAACCCCGAATGCCGAAAACTCAATGTTTATTTTATTTTATTTTTTTGCACACTTGCATAACTCCCTGACAAGCCACGCCAGGCGTTGGGCTTTTTGTTTGGTTTTATTTTGTTGCATTTAGGGGAAACGAGAGAGAGAGAGAGAGAGAGAGAGAGAGAGAGAGAGAGAGAAGGAATCACACAAACCACCCAGCCCTAGAAGATGTCTTAGGCCAGACCGTGGGCTCGGGTTTCCTGCCTGAGGAAACGTCTGCGGGAGTTGGGGGGCCTCACCACTAGGCTGAGGAATGAGTAAGGGAAGAAAGCCACCTGGGTCAAGGAAGATAATGAATTAGAACCATGTGACAATAATAAAGGGCATTTCTTGTGCACCTACTATATGCCAAGCCCTGGGCTTTGCATCTATGTTCTGTTACCTAATTTCGCAAGCCCCTTTACTGTCTTCCTTTTCTCCTTTTCTTATAAATGTGAATTCTGAGCCTCAGAAACATCAAGCAATTTGCTCAGAGACATATGACCTGTAAGTGGCCAGCCCGGTTCCCATTATGCTAAATGACTTGTAATTTCCCTGAGAGAGCCTGAGCTGCCCTGAGTTTGCATATGTTGTTCATTCTGCCAAGAAATGCCTTTTTCTTTGACCCTTCTCCAATCATCCTTCAAAATGCCTACAGAGAGTCTCACCCGGCCACCTTGCACATCGGGCCCTGGACCTTGTGTGGACCTGTCCTGCACTCATCACTGGCCTGTGATTGCCTATCCCGCTGTGCTACGAGCCTCTCATGGGTGAAAAGTGTGTCTGATTCATCCCTGCGATTCCCAGCACCACGGACTTACCTAACTGATGTGGGGTGAGCTGAAGCCCCAGGTGGTTGTGACTGTACCTTTTGTAGATCCTGATCAGCTCACTCAGATGATGTCACAGGTCATTGTCATTCCTTACCTAAATCAAGGTCACCATGAGAAGACCTAAGGTCAGTGGATCCAAGCCTGCGCAGTGGTTCCTAGAGAAGAGCTAAATTCCTTATGGTGTATGTCATCCTTTTCCAGGTGAGACCTATTCTCCCACTTGGGTTGTCATTTGACCAGTATACTTCCAGCGACAAGTAGTAGGAGACTAGCTCCAGATAGCTTAGACGGCAGGGTGGTTTGTTATCTCACGTACCAGGAAGGGCAGAGATAGGAATGATCTAGCAGCTCAGCAACCATATGGAGAATCAGAGTCTCGGGCACCTGGTGGCTCAGCGATTGAGCATCTGCCTTTGGCTCAGGGCATGATCCCGGGGGCCCTGGATGGAGTCCCACGTCGGGCTCCCTGCATGGAGCCTGCTTCTCCCTCTGCCTGTGTCTCTGCCTCTCTCTCCATGCATCTCTCTAGATACATAAAATCTTTTTTTTTAGATACATAAAATCTTAAAAAAAAAAAAAAGAATCAGATTCTCTCCTATATTCTCATTCTACCATCCTCAATCTCCCAGCTACTGCCCTCCCGATCGCAAGGTGGCTGCAGCTGCTCCGGGCTCTGCATCTTCACCAAACAGGTCTGGCAGTCTCCTTTTTTAAAGAGTTAATTGGCATTTAAAAATGGTTAAGGTGCTAAATTCTGTTATAGATATCTGCCACAATTTAAAAAAATTTTTTTAAGAAGCTCACAGCATCACATGAATGAATGAATGTGGTGAATGAATCAATTGCAGACAAGAAGGATGCTGCGGCTAGGATTAGTGTGCACCAGTCACGATTACATGGGGAAGAGTGTTCACAGATAAAAGCAGGGCTCTGCTGCCCTGAGGAAGGGAAAGTGGGCTTTGGGGCGGGCAAAGTGGGCTTTGGAATGATCATCACTGTTACTCAAAAAAAAAAAAAAGCTGACTTTGTTATCGTCAGTTTATCGCAGAGTCCCCTGCACCCTAGTCTCCTTGATTGTGTTATTCTCTGAGACCTTGTCATACTCTTCCATGGAGGCAATATAGGATAAAAAAGGCTGATGGCATGGACACTGGCATTAGCCCCGAGTTCCAAGGCCATTTCTACCTCCCAACTAGCTCAGTGCCCTTGGGCAAATCGCTTTACCTCCCTGAGGCTCAGTTCCTTTATCTGTCAAATGGGTATAGGAGCAATATCGACACCAGCCTTCTCGTGGGGGTAGCATAGGGCAAGGCATTCAGGGAACGTCACACGGTGCCGGGGACCACAGTACTTAGTACGCGCTGGCTCTTAAAATGAGCTAGACATTTGTCCTTTCCTTCATTAAATATTAACTGAGTATGATCTGTATCCCAGGGGCCAGGCTGGGAACAAAGGACAGAGAAATGAACAGCACATTGTCTGTCTTCCTAGGAGCTGCAGGTCTGGGGGAGAGACGGGGCGTATAGGACGAGGAGGGTGGGCCCAGAGGCCTGATGCACTGGCGGTGCCCTCGGAGGCCCCAAGTGGTTCTGCTGTGCAGAGATTTAGGATGAGAGGGGTGGGAGCAGGGCAGTACAGGAGATCTTTCCAGAAGGGCCTTGTGTGTCAAGCCGAAGAGCAGGGACTTTACCTCGAGGACAGCACACAGGCCCTAGGGTTTGTGACCTGCGTGAGAGGTGGGTTCGGGGCTGCCCGGCAGCTCTGTGAGGGCCGAGATTGAAGGGGGGGGATGAGAGAGGATCGTTGCAAAGAGCATGGAGCTGCTTTGCTCCCCGTTCCCCCTCAACGTCCCTTCCAGAGGGCGGCCTGTGTCCCCCAGGAGCCGGGACACCAGAAGCGCACCTTCTCTGATGCTCCACCTCGTGTGGCAGAGATGGGGCTCCCCTCACACACGCCTGGGACATGCAGCCCCCATCCCGCTCGGCCTGGAAAAACCACTCATTCTTCCCCGGGAGGAGTGGGGAGCCTATGCCATCACCTCCCGCCCCCACCCCCATCTTCCTTCCACATCCCTCACAACGCCCCCCAATCTTTCTACCTCCCTCCTCTCCTCACCTAAGGCACCTGCTGCACACCTTGTGGGGCCTGCTTCGCTCACACAGGACGTGGACAGCAGGCTCCAGGTCCTCCTCTCCATAGCATCACCCCCAGGGCCTCCTTGTCCATGTCAGAGCCACTTTCACCCCATGGCCCGTGGGGATAGCGCTGGTCTCGCCCACTCCACTCCAGCCTCCCACTCACACAGTCGATCCCTCTTGGCCTCCAACAGCTCCATCGCTGAGACCACAGACTCTAAGACCCCCAGACCCCCGCCACCACCGCCTTCTGCTCCAGACCTCTCGCTCCCTTCCTCCTAATTCAGGTCCTCGACACTTGGCCCACTCAGTAATGACTTTGGGCGCTGGCCTTGCCTCTGGGTCTCAAAAGCGCAGCAAACCCCCTGCCTCTCCCCGTGGAGTTCCACAGGACAATCCCCCAACTCCCTGGGGTGGTGTCGCTGCGGATCCACAGCCAGGCTCCACTGGGCCTTGGTCACTGGTGTTGACCCCTCAAAGCCCCCCAGGGCCCCTTCCTCATCAAGACAGCTGGGACAAGCCAGGGGACTCCTTCGATTTCCTTCTGCTGACACTAAACTCGTGATCCCTGCTCAGAACCTCTTTCTCCCCAGATTCCCCCTTCGTTGTGGTAAACAGCAGTGAACCTGATAAACAGGAAATTGGGGTTTGTTTTCCCTCACCCCTCTCCCCTCCCACACCCACTCCATTGGCAAATCCTGTTGGGTCTACCTCCGGACCATCCCCAGTCCAGGATCCTGCTCATCTCGCTGCGCTGCTTACCTGGACGATGGGCAGCACCCCCAACTGTCTCCCCTGCTTCTGCTCCCCCCACCTCCCCCCACCAGCCCAGGCTTCACACAGTAGCCAGAGAAAAATCTTAAAAATTATAAGGCAGATCCCATCACTCACAACCCTGCTTAAACCTTCCAGTGATTTTCCATTGTACTTGGAATCAAATCCAAACACCATCCCTTATAAGGCCGCATCCCTCCGGCTTCATCTGTCTCCTCTCTCGGCTCCAGCCTCACTGGGCTTCTCTCAAGTCTTTGACCACTTCCTCATCTCAGGGCCTTTGCACAGCTCTTCAGACGGGCAGCTTCAGCATTCCTTTGTCGGAAGGGCCACCCTGACCTCTTCATCTCAGGAGCTCCCCCGTCCTTCCCGACCACGGTCTCCTTTCAGTTCTGTGGGGTCGGTGTGTTGGGTAATTATCTCCCCGCTGGCTGCCCTCCCAGCCTCGAGTTCCAAATCCCCGGTGCCTGCGTGTGATAGACCCTCCTCTCCCTCACGGCCCCCTCGCCCTACAGGACCCTCTGCTAAGGTCACCAACAAGCTCTGAGTCGCCACATTCTGCAACTCCTTTGTCTTCCTTCTACTCCAGCTCTCTGCAACTCTTGACATCCCCACCCCCCCTTCTTGGAATGCTTCTCTCCACCATCCTGGTTCCAGTTCCTTGTCCCTCTGCCCACCTCCCCTCCAGGCCCTAACTGTCGGCAGGTGCACGGTTACTCCTGGCCGTCTGCCCTTCCCTTCAACCATGCACTAATACAGATAAAAAGCACAATATCCAACAGTAAGAGAAGCAAATGTGATGGTCAAGTTTATACATCAACTTGGGCAGGCCATTACAGACATCCTTCTAGATGCTTCTGGGAAGGTAGTTTTTAGATGAGATTAACATTTGAAAAAAAAAAAAAACATTTGAGTCTATGGACCCTGAGTAAAGCAGATGACCCTCCATGGTGTGGGTGGACCTCAACCAATCAGTTGAAGGCCACCAGGGAACCAAGACTGATGTCCTCTGAACATGAAAAATTCTTCCAGCAGATGCCCTTTGGACTCCTACTGCAGCCCCAGGTCTTCCTCAGATCTCCAACCCTACCCTACAGATTTTGGACTTGCTAAACCTCCACAGTCATGAGACAAGTCCTACACACACACACACACACACACACACACACACACACACTCCTGGTTCTGTCTCTGGGAGCTCGGATACAGTAAGCGATAACTAAACGTAACTAACACCCTCCTAAACTCCTCCCCTGGATGAGGTTACTCTCATAGGTCCAAGCCCGTTGGGCCTGAGAGTCCGGATACCCAGGTCTTAGTCTGGGGTCTGGGGGATGATCCCATCCAAGACCCCGTCTTGCTCATGTCAATAAACAGCAGCTCCAGCTGCCCAACCACACCACGTAAACCCCCAGAGGCTTGGCTGGCATCTCCTTTACTCCCCAGGTCTGAACCATCAGCAAGCGGCTTCCCTGCCACCTCCAGAGGGTCTCCCAGATGCACATGTTGGGCGCCATGTGCTCTGCCAACACCCTGCTCCAGCCGCAGCCAAGGTCACTGCCTGCTGGTGCTGTTTCCCGCCTTCCCTCCTGCCCCCCAATCCTCTCCGTGGCATCTGTGTTATGTTAAATCGAATCATAGCACTCGCGGTAGTTTCTAGGGCTGCTGTTAAAATCGCCACCAACTCAGTGGCTCCAGACACACTCATGTCTCATCCTACAGTGCTAGAGGTCAGAAGTCTGAGGTGGGTTATGGGGGCTGCGTGCCTCTTCCACCTTCCAGAGGCCACCCACATGCCGGGCTTGGGGGCCCTCCTTGTGTCCCTTTGACCTTCGCTCCAGTCATCATCTCTCCATCCTCCCCCCTCCCATGTATAAGGACCCTTGTGATTATTCAGGCCCACCTGGATGCCCCAGGAGACCGTCCCTCTCTCAAGATCCTTAACATATGTGCAGGTTTTGGGGATTCAGATACAGACATCTTGGGGGGTGTCTAGGACAGCTCCTAAATCCTCCCAATGGGTCCTCGCTGCACGTAGAGTTAGAGGCGAACATCCTCACCCCTGCACTTCACAAACCCTCCCAGGGTCCATCCCTTACTCACCTACTCCGCCGTGGCAGCCACATCACTGTCCCCTGTGGGGACCAGACACACTTTCCCTTCTTCCTGCAATGTTCTTCAGCTCCTTCTCATCATTCATCTGCCCAAATGTCACCTCTTCAGAGAGCCTTTCTCTAGTCCAAAGTAGATGAATTTGAATTCATCATGTTGAATTATTTTTCCTCATTGCCCTCAATCTCTGCGTGATGTTCTCTTGTCGATGATTTATTTGTTGGCTGTTCATCTCTCCCATTAGAACGCAGACATCCTCACAGCTAGGGCCCTGTCGCGCCAGGGTCTCTGGCTCTGTAACTCAACTAGTATTCGTGAGCCTTGGTCTCCTCATTTTCCCAATAATCACACTTTCAGTCTCATCAGCTTCTTTTTTAAAGATTTTATTTATTTATTTATTTATTTATTTATTTATTTATTTATTTATTTATGAGAAAGAGAGAAAGAAGAGAGGAAGAGAGGATCCTCAAGCAGACTCCCTGCTGAGCCCAGAGCCTGATGTGGGGCTCCATCCCACCACCTCGAGATCATGACCTGAGCTGAAATCAAGAGTTGGACACTTAACCTCCTAAGCCACCCAGGTGCCACATCGTCACCTTGTTTTGAGAAGTAAATGGGGTAATGGTAGCTGCCACGTTTTGCTGCCTGTAATGAATCAAGCCCTGCCCTGGGAAATTTACGCGTAACACAGAACGTGCATGTCTTAGTTCAAGGTCATCGGCGGCGAGCCAGCTCAGGGAAAAGGAGGTTTATCGTAAGGCTGCAACCCATGATCTGCAAGCATCCAGAGAGAGAAGAAACAAAAATAAGAGAGTCGGGCTGCTTCCCGGGGACCAAAGAGGTGATGGCTATCATGCCCCATGCCTCCCTCTATGAGGCCGCCTGGTCCTTCGTCACCGATCTGTCCATGCAACTGTGCCTTCTCTTGGAAGACCAGCTCCTTCTGCGTACGCGTGGCCACTTGCGGCCCAACACAGCCTCAACTCCTTGCTGCCTCCCAGCGCAGCTGCCCAGGACCTGTTCTGTCTCCCAGGGCCCCCAGCCCATTCGGGGGCATCCGACTGCCCTAAAGAGAGTCCATCATCAGCCCTTGTGCTGTCACCTGTAGACGGGATGATGCGGTCCTGCGGCTGGGGTGAGTGACTGTGGATGGAGGCCTCTCCTAAAGAAAGAAGAATCATCACTAGGCAGGCACCCCCAAAACACAGCTGCCAGGATGCAGAGCACCTGTCACATTGCAGCATGCAGTGCGTCCTCTTCCAGAACTCTCCCCTTCCCACCTCCCTTCCATTTGCCGGGCACATCGTTCCTGGGCTTCCTGATACATCTGTCTCCAGCCTGGTTCTCTTATCTTCACTCCCGTCAATACTTGAAGCTGCCCGCCTTGTCTTCAAATTCAGCTTGGAGAAAGCCACATTCCTCTTCCCCCCAAACTGGCTCGTGTCCCCAGTTCTCTAGTCCCTGACCCAGCCCGAGTCTAAACCCTGCGTCTCCCTTCGCCCATCTCAGGGTCTCGGAAGGAGCGCCTGCCTTCCTTCCCCCAGCCCCAGGCGCAGAGCCGGCTCCTCCTGACCCCTGGTCTTCAGCACCCCAGACTGAGTGTCCACAGTCACCCATGGCCAGGGAGCGCAAGGTGGCAAAGCCCGGTGCCCTGGAGCCAGACAGGTCCGGGCTCACGTGCCGGCGCTGCTTGTCCATTTTGTCTCTTGAACTTGACAAATTCGGTTTCCTTATGCGTAAAATGCTAATAATTATAGTTCTCGCCTTATAGGGTCATTGTGAGGACTGATACAATTCACGTAAAGCAGGCATATGCGTATTTTCTCAGTGATTGATTAGGTTCTAGCAATGTGCCAGGAACACAACGATAAGTAGGATGCAGTCCCTGGATTTAAGAAACCTGAAGTTTCCTGCGTCACTCACAATAGCTTTTTGACTTCCTGCCGATCTGTCCATGCAATTGTGCCTTCTGGCCCTTCTGGCAATACACGAGCCGTTCATTATGCTGTATAACATTAGTTATACTTAACTGGTCCCAATTATAAGAGCAATGATGATTACTTAGAAAACATATAGGAGAATTAGAATGGCCCTTAATCCCCTCTTTGTGGTAGAACTTGGTCCTTCCGGGTGTGCTGTTTTGCAACAATTATGTCACTCATCACGTACACTTTGTATCGATTGTCATTTTGCAAGTATTGGGCTAGGCCATTAAAGGTCCTTTGAAATATCATTTTGAACAGAGTCTGTAGCAGGGACGCCCGGGTGGCTCAGCGGTTGAGCATCTGCCTTCGGCTCAAAATGTGATCCTGGGGGTCCCGGGATCGAGTCCCACATCGGGCTCCCCGCATGGAGCCTGGGTCTCCCTCCCTCTCTGTGTCTCTCATGAATAAATAAAATCTTAAAAAAAAAAAGAATCTGTAGGCAAAGCTATGAATGTAACGACACATACTTGCCCCTCTTCCACTGTTAGCCACTTGGGAGGGTTTTGCCCCTGTGACAAATAATGGACAACGGAGAGCGTTACTCCACAGGCTCTGCCGCAGGAGGCCGGGTGTTTTATTCCTGCGGTTCCCTTCATGCTCACGACAATGCTGGGAGGAGATATTATTATCCTCACTGGAAAGGTCAAGGAAACTGGGTTTGATCATCCCGGCTGCTACCCGGAGGTGCCCCAGCTGCTGATGACACACCCTGGGTTTGGATCCGCAACTGTGTGTGTGTAGACGACCACCCAGCTCCACCCTTCCACCCTATCAGTACCATAGACGTGACTTCTTCTTTTTCTTCTTCTTCTTCTTCTTCCTTCTTCTTCTTCTTCTTCTTCTTCTTCTTCTTCTTCTCCTTCTCCTTCTCCTCCTCCTCCTCCTCCTCTTGTCCTCCTCCTCCTCTTCCTCCTCCTCCTCCTCTTCCTCGTCCTCCTCCTCCTTCTTCTTCTTCTTCTTCTCCTCCTCCTCCTTCTTCTTCTCCTCCTCCTCCTCCTTCTTCTTCTCCTCCTCCTCCTCTTCCTCCTCCTCCTCCTCCTCCTCCTCCTCCTCCTCCTCCTCCTCCTCCTCCTCCTCCTTCTTCTTCTTCTTCTTCTTCTTCTTCTTCTTCTTCTTCTTCTTCTTCTTCTTCTTCTTCCTCCATTGCTGGCGTGAGTGCTTTGAAGGCTCTCCGTCCGTATTGCCAACCTGCTTTCCAGCACCAGGCTGCGCCTAGCACACATAACAGGTGCCTGGGACATACTGAACTGACAAAGGAAAAGGTGGTAAGTGTTTGTCTTTCTCATCGTATCACCTACACTGGGTATTCTCTTTAAAGAAAAAAACGGGCAGCCCAGGTGGCTCAGCGGTTTAGCACCGCCTTCACCCCAGGGTGTGATCCTGGAGACCCGGGATCGAGTCCCACGTCGGGCTCCCTGCATGGAGCCTGCTTCTCCCTCTGCCTGTGTCTCTGCCTCTCTCTCTCTCTGTGTCTCTTATGAATAAATAAATAAATAAAATCTTTAAAAAATAAAGAAAGAAAAAATAAAGAAAAAAACTTAGCCAATTCGACAGTCAGAAATGCTATCACTGCTTTAACTTGCATTTCTTTGATGGCTGTTAAGATATGTTTTATGAAAGTCTCTTATTTCTCTCCTGCGAATTTTGTATGTGCATCCTTTCCCCATTAATCTACTGGGATCTTTGCAGAGGTTCCCCCCCAACCCCATTAAGTATGTTTAAGACTGTTGTATGGCAAGAGTATCAATTATCTGCTTATCATAGTCATTGCAACTATTTCCCTCCGCCTCTTACTGGCCCTTCACCTCAGATTATGGTATTTTGGTCCTGCGTGTGCATCCCTTTGCTTGGTTAGGCCGTGAGTCTCGAAAAGCAGCCACCAACTGCACCTCAAACTTTTCCTGTACCTCTCAGATCCTTGTCAGGAGCCTGAGCACAAAGCAGGTCTCTAATAAATCATTCTTCAGGGTCACATGACATGCCGTGTGCTTTGTGGACACTCTCACTTCTTTGGATCAAAGGCTCCCCGCCCAGGGAAGGGATTACCATTTCCATTTCACTGATGAGGCACAGAGAGGCTAAGTGACCTGCCCATGAGCATGTCGATGGTCAGTGACCAGGCCTGGACCTGAATTCAAGCCGCCCAGCCCTACATCCGTGCTTCCTGGAAAGCCTAAAGCAACAACTTCAACAACTGGCAGCTGGTCCGGGCCCCCCAATCCCTTTTTCTTGCAAGTTGGACTCACAGCTTCAGCTCTGTTTTTTCGCCCAGTGTGCATGACTCGTGTGTGCGTGTGTGTTTGGCGCATGGGATGAGGGGAAGGAATGAAGCGAGGAAGAGAACTGAGCTGAGAATGGATCGTGGAATGCCAAACCAGAGAGTCAGACTTTGTCCTGTCAACGAATGGATGCTCAGATTCTCCACCCACGTCCCCGCCCCTCCCAGAAAGCAAGGGCCAGCCCCACCCGGACCCCAGGGCCCCCCAGTCCAGAGGCCTGAGACCTTGGGCATGTGAGGTAGCAGAGCTGGACCAACCTCAGGACCACCTCGCCATCAGTGCTCCTCCACCGCACAGAGGAGGGAAACGAGCCCAGCGAGAGCAGGTGACTTGCCCAAGGTCACACTGCAGCTTACAGACCGGAGGCCAGGCATCCCAACCCCGAGCCGGAGCCCCCACCTCCTACTCACTAGGCGTCTCCAAGCAAAAGCAGGGTGTCTGTAAGGAGCCGGGGTAAAGCTCTCACTCGTCTCTCACTCATTTCATTTACTCCACTCATGTGTACGAAGCACTTACTATCTACCAACTTCTGATCTAAACCAAACAAAACTAGACAACAATGGCAAACAAAACGGACTTGGTCCCCGCCCTTGAGGGCAATTGGGAGGAGGAGAGGGACCAGTAGTGTAGCAGGTCCAATCCAGGGGAGTGATGCTCCCTTGGGGATGAATCGGAGGTAGGGGGACCCCTGAGCAGGGTGGACAAGCCATTGAGGTTCCTGAAGAAAGTGACCCTCAGCTGGGACCAGAGAGCACAAGCTGGAGAGGTCAAGAGTAGGAGGGGAAGGTCTACATCGAGGGCAAGGTCCCGGGGGAGGTCCTGGGGCTGAAGGTAAGTTATCATCAGAGACCCCCAACAAGAGGCAGATTCCTGAGCGTATACCCAAGGGGGAGCAACAAGAGATGATGCTGTAGGGGTGCCTGGGTGCCTCAGGTCACGATCCCAGGATCCTGGGATTGAGCCCCATGTTGGACTCTCTGCTCCACGGAGAGCCTGCTTCTCCCTCTCCATCTGCTCCTCTTCTCCCACCCACCTGTGCTCTGTCTCAAATAAATAAATAAAATCTTTAAGAGAGAGAGAGAGAGAGATGCTGGGGGGGGCGGGCAGGTGGCCCGAGTCTGGGTGCACGAAGGCTTATGCCTGCCTCTCCTCCTGGCAAGGGTCACCCAGAGCAGGCCACACAGCTCATTGGGTTCAGATGCTGTGGCCCCTGGACCCTGGACAGGGGACTACAGACAGCCCCTCCCCCTCCCACGGAGTGAGCCCTCGGTTCAGTTCAGTCAAGCCCCCCCCAGGGCAGTTCAAGGCCTGAGCAAGCTCAGGTTTGGGAGAAAAGGGTGTTGGTGAAGGCACAGGCTGGATGGGGCGGGTGTGGAAGTCGGGGGGAGCTCCTCCGAGAATGAACCTGTCCGATGTCACATGCATGTCTGGATCTGCATGCTTGTCGCTGGGGCGTGGGGGGGTGTCCACCTGATGTCTGCGACAGGACTCTGCAGCCGTGGGGATGTGAACCTGTGTCAGTGTGTCCCTGCACATTTGCCATGGGAACCGCACGTGCGTGTTTATACACATGGGAATCAATGGCTATGGGCACTGTGCTTGCACTAGCGTGCGTGTATGTGTGTGACTGTATGTTTGACTGCATGCGTGCTCTCACTTAACTCTACATCTGACGTCACCCCTCTTCATCTGGGAGTGGGGGCCAGGGTTAGGATTTGCTAAGCCCCAGCCCAAGCACCACTCCCCGGCCCTGGTGCCCAGCCCCAGCTGCCTGCTCTATGTGGCACTCCTACCTGGTGGCACCAGGCCTAAAGCTGACCCCTCCGGGCTCCTTCGTGCAGCCTTCCCAGGACCCTGTTTAGCCTGCAAAGAGTTGGGCCTTGACGCAGAAGCAACTCAGGCTCACGTACACACACATACATACATACCCAACGCACACACAGGCACGTGCACACATGCATGAGTGCAAATATCCACATGCATTCATGCCCTCTGGACGCTGGTCAGAGAGACAGAAAGAACCAGCCAGGTCACAGTGTGCTCCCCAAGGCCCCGGCCTGCGTCCTGCAGCCGGCATCCCACGTGCAGCCCATATGCAGCGGGTGCCCAG